TTTCCATGCTCTTTCAGGCAGAGGATGAAGAAGGATTTTTTTAACTGATTGACCACAAAAAGGATAAACGTCTCCATTACTTGCTCTTTTTTTCAGATGAGTACATTGCTAGTCTTACAAAGATGGTCCAACAGCACTTTTTTTACCATAAGAAGAAGCAAAAGGGAAGAGTTCGACGCAAGTCAGACTTTTTTTATGAGACTCCTGAGGGTGACAGACGCGTCACTGTTGTAAATACAGAGACAAATGAAGTTCTCAAGGGTGATGAAGCTCCAAAGGCAGATGAGCTGTTTTTTTGGCTTGCTAACCATCCAGGGTGGGTGATTGATCTGTTTATCCCTTTTTTTTTCTCTCCACTTCCCTGTTCATCCATCCATTCAAAATCTAATAGGTTTTTTTCCAATACGCCTGCCATCTTGAATTGTTTTAAGTATCAAATCAAGATGAAACTATTGATACCCAGGGGACACAAAACAAGAAGTTCATGGAGTGTATTTTTTTAAGAATTCTATGAGATTGAGTATTATTTCCAGAAACGTGAAAAATTTTTTTAAACATAACACATTTGAATTCTTTTAGCATTGATTTAAATTTTGTTTTTTTAAAATTATCAGATCTAAAGTAGGTATCATTGTGTATCACATAATTTTTTTTAAATTCAAGATGGCAGCTGTACAATGGTCTATTTTTTAAATTTCTTTTTTTTTTTGCTTAACGTTGCTTAACGTTGTATTTTTATCTGAAAACACTTTTTTTTTGTTTAAAGTATGTTTTGACTCATTTGTGTTTTCTGAATGTTATTTTTTTTATATATGGAAATAGCTACGCAGTGGCTCCAAGACAAGAAGATGATTCAGCTGATGAAGACGACGATGAAGAAGAAGATGATGAAGACACAAACCTTTTTTTAATGTCATGGCAAAGGTTATCTGAGAAAGAGAGACGTAGAGAGATTTTTTTCAAAGATGATGTAGGGTAGGTTCATGACTTGGTTGTTGTTGTTTTTTTTTTTTTTCTTTTGAGGGAAAAATTGCTGCTGACTTAATCTTTTGTTCTTTTTTTTATTTACAGCTCTTGCTGTTCAATAGCTGTGAAAAAATATTCATTTAAGCAAAGATGGATTGTCGTAATAGTGAACAAGCTTCAGTAACAGTCTCAAGGGAGTGATGGAATGTTCATGAGAGTTCTCATAAAAACAATGAACAAAAGCACTTGTTCAGTACGTTTTGGACATTTATTTGTGCAATACAATGTTTATTTTTTTTTGTAAAATAAAAAAACTGTAATGAATGTGTGTATTTTTTATTGTTTGCACAGAAACATTAATGACAGTCCATCATTCTTGTCTGTTCACTATGATTTTTTTTTTTTAGAATGAATATGATTACTTTGTTGTTAATGAACAACAAAAGTTTTTTTGTAAGTCTTGTATTCTTCTTCAATCAGTGAATCGGCGGCAGCTCAAGAAGCTGTCAACTACTATGGAATGGCTCATACTGTCAAGGAATCCATCATTTTTTTGCCTTCTTTACTAATTGGAGGGASATTAAAGGAATATCAGGTAATTTTTTTTCCTTAAAGGTGGCTAAATACGAGATACAAAAACCATSAACTTGTTTTTTTACATTGTTTCTGTTCAAGTTGAGCATCAAAGTTTATCGTTTTTCTTTTTTTGTGAGAAACATCGGTGCTCAACTTGAATAGACACAATGTTTTGTGCCAAGTTGAGGGTTTTTGTTTGTTGTATTTACTCGCCTTAAGTTTAATTGTTTTTTTTGCCATATTATTTTCAGCTTTAATTTCCTATCAAGAGTTTTCCTTTTTTTTTTTCTTATTGTTTATTGGATTACACAACTGACTTACTCACTACATTTTTTTATCATAATTTCTTTATAGAATTATTATTTTGTTGGTAGGTTCTTTTTTGGTGGTTTCTCTACACTGCTTTTATGTTTCTAGTTTTTTTGTTTTTATTTTTTTTTTATTTTGTATTTATAGCTTCTTGGTTTGGAATGGATGGTTTCTCTACATAACAATAATCTAAATGGAATCCTTGCGGATGAGATGGGTCTTGGGAAAACCATTCAAACAATTGCCTTATTTACATACTTGATTGAGATCAAGAGACTTAACGGACCCTTCTTGGTCATTGTCCCATTATCGTAAGTGAAAACATCACCAACAATAAGGACATAACAATAAATGCCCAGTCAATGTTTTCTTTGTCATTCTGTGAACAACATTTAAGTCTTAGTCTACTTGAATAAACAAGTAGAATTTTTTTTTTGCAAATGTAAATGTGTGCAATATAAATACTGCTAAATTATTCTTTTTTTTTTGTTTTCTATTGTTTAACTAGTACTATTTAAGAAGTAGTTTGTTTTTTTTTAATATTATATTGAAGAAGGAGTATAATTATTGACTTTTCAAACTTTTTTTTTTCATTGCAGAACTCTTTCTAACTGGGTTCTTGAGTTTGAGAATTTTTTTCCTTCAGTGATTGTGGTCAGTTATAAGGTATGAAACCAGTCATTTTTTTTTATTCATTTATCATTTCCTTTCCATTTGTCCAATATTAAATCATTTTTTTTTCCATCCATTCATCTATTTCTCATCCATTTGTCATTCCGTTCATCTTTTTTTTTACTAATGTAATTATTACAAACACAAGGTTTGTTTTATTTCCTTTTTTTTCTCATCAATATGTTTTTCTAATATCTTCATAAAAATACTCCAGTTTTTTTTTCATAGCGAAAAACCGCTGCTTTATTTTACAACAGATTCTCTTGTTTTTTTACTTAACAAACACAAAAGAGCGCACGAGAAAATGTCGTTATTACTTTTTTTTTGAAAATTTGCATTTTCCCCGAGTTGARATTATCCMTGTATTCTTTTTTTACCTAAGGTATGAGCAGGGTTAGCCTCAACTCGAGGAAAATGTATTTTTTTAGCGCTCTATTGTATTAACAACATTTTCTCATGCTTTCTTTTGTTTTTTTTAAGTTCTTTGCGTAATAGGATCTGCTGTCAAGTAAAACAGCGGTTTTTTTTTTTGAATTCGAAACTGGAGTATGATTACATGTCATATTATATTATTTTTTTTCGCCAAACATGCGAAGATCTGCAGCGGTTGTTCTTCGAACAGGTTTTTTTAATGTTGTACTTACAACATATGAATATGTAATGAAAGACAAATCTTTTTTTGCAAAGGTATGTTTTATTGCAAAATACAAATCTGAATTCTAATGAAAACATTGGGTAAAAACTAAAACAGTAACAAATAGCGTACTTAGTATGTTACAAAAAACATTCGGCAAAAATGTTTAACTACTGTATCAAAGTAACTTTGTTTTTTTTTTTGTTTTGGAGATTGTCGATCAGTTTTTTAATCATTACAGCAATTTTTTTGTACATGTAATGTGTGTTGGTGGTTTCTTAAAATGTTAACCAAATTTTTTTGATGTCTGATTTTTGTAATAAGGAATATTCTTTTTAATATGATGTTTTTTTATTCTAAATTGTTAAGTTTATATACTGCTAAGGTCCACTGGAAGTTTTTTTTGATTGACGAAGGTCACAGAATGAAG